CCAACCCCCGCCCCGTTCCCCCCTGCATGGGCCTCACCCCCCCACATGCCCTCGACTCACTGGTCACAGTGATCTCTTTGATGGCCACCGCCTGACTTCCAACCACGTAGGTCAGCTGTATGCGGCACTGATCCCGAGCCGGGTTGAAGGTGCTTTTGACGGCTCGACATATCAGTGTGACCAACTTCTCATCCGGGGGGCTGTCTCCCTGTGGTGGGGAGACCAGGAGTGGGACAGCAGCCCGGGACTGTGGGGCTGCCTGCGAGCTGCGGCCAGGGCAACGCTGCTGCCCGGCTCCGGTCTCGGCGCCCTCCCAGTCCATTGGGAGCCAGTGGCAAATGGCTTCAGGCCGTCCGACCTCCTGTCCCCGCCTTCTTGCCTGCTCAGCTCGCCTACTCCTCCCCACTGACCCGGTCTAGGCTGCACCCACTTTTCACCCCTGGGCCCTCCTTCTCCCTGCAGGCTCTTTGAGGATCAGTGCCCTCTTCCAGCTCCCACCCTAGAAGGGGCCAGAGCTGGGCACAGCCACCCTCCTCACCCCCATTGCCATGGGGAGACTCTCTCTGGACCTGCATTCCCCAGAGACCACAGGAGGGGAAAGCCACAGCTCGCAGCCCAAGGTCATGGCTCTGTGTGCCCCGCCCCTGGGCAAGGCCATGGACTGGCAGACAGGGAAGAGCAGGGCTGTGGCGATGTGAGGGACACAGGAGATCTTAAAGGTAGCAGCAAGTCCAGGGGTGCCTGGCTGACTTTGGGACACCTCGGAGGGTCTGACACACCAGAGAACATGGCTGATGGGCTGGAGGGCCGGGGTGAGGGGTAGTGTGGCCCACACTGACCCGCCTGGCCGTGACACCCAGAGCACCCCCTTCCTCCTGGTGTTCATCTGACCTGATCTAGAGTAAGGGGCTGCGGTGACGAGCAGGACCCCACAAACCACCCTTGGGTTTCAAGACACCTGGAATCTCCCTAGGCTGCCTAATACCCCACCAGGGCCGTTTCTCACAAGCCATCAACTGCTGGCCGAACTTACCCAGAAAGAGGCCTGCACTAAGGAGGGCAGCCTCCGTGCAGCTCTAGCCTGGACCACCAAGCCCAAGGCCAGGCGCACATGGCTCTGTGGAACCTCTGGCCCATGTGCATGCTTCTGCCAAGTTCACATGGAAAACATCTGCCAAATGCACGCCCAAGAGAAACTGTGGAGGTGTGGGAGAGGCTGGTGCTCCATCCCTGACATTGGCCAGGTCTGTCCTGTTCCAGCCCCTTGGCCGCTGTAAACCTCGGTCTGGACCAGCAGAGGACAGCAGCGAGCCAGGCAACACCTGCACCCACAGGCTGGCTATCGGGTGCGCTGTGCGGCCCTGACCGCCGAAAAGGCTGCCGCTCTCCCACAGACATGTCCACCCGCCATCCAGAGTGAACACCTGCCATGATGGCTCCTCACGTGCTCCACTGAGGCTCTTGGACAGCCACAAACCAGGAAATGTGACAGCCCGTGCACCAGGAAAAGTTAGCCACAGACCAGGAAATATGACAGCCATGAAGTGTGACAGCCACAGACCAGGAAATGTGACAGTCACGGACCAGGAAACATGGCAGCCACAACGAGGAAATGTGACAGCCATAACCAGGAAATGTGACAATCATGGACCAGGAAACATGACAGCCACAACCAGGAAATGTGACAGTCACGGACCAGGAAACATGACAGCCACAACCAGGAAATGTGACAATCATGGGCCAGGAAACATGACAGCCACAACCAGGAAATGTGACAGTCACGGACCAGGAAACGTGACAGCCAGGAACCAGGAAATGTGACAGCCATAGACCAGGAAACGTGATAGCCATGGACCAGGAAATGTGATGCCACAGGCTATTGGATCAGGGGGACCGGCGGCTGACACCTCTCGTTTTCAGCTGAGACCTCTTAAGCCCCAGGAGATCAGCTTACCTAAGTCACCCCTAGAGGAGGGGCAGGCAGGAAATGGGATGGGGCCGTCTCTATGCAGGCCCCCAGGGACACCCACAGTGAACACCCATGAGCCCCAGGAGCCTCTCCTGGCCCTGCCTGCCGTCCTGCGGGTGTGACCTCGCGTGGTCTGGGCCTCGCTCTGTGTGATGTGATGGGAAGGACAGGGTAGGAGGGCGTGCGGTCACCCACTCCTGTTGGAGAAGGATGCTTCCTGCCCCTGCCCTGCCCCGCCCCGCCCCCCACCGGCCTGCATCTGGGCGCTGCGGGTGGGCCCTGGTGGGAACTCACACACAGGCTGGCCTTTGTGAGGTTCAGGACGAGCAGCTTCTCGCTCAGTTTCTCGGCAGACTCGCACTGTGTCTGGAAGAAGCCACTGAGGTTAAGGTTCGGGCTGAGCATCAGGGCCCTCCCTCCCCCTGGGGGCGCGACCAGCCAGTGAGTCCTGAGGGAGTCCTGTCAGTCCAGCCATGCCAGCCCAAGCCAGCCGGGAGAGAGGGATCCCTAGGTTGAAGGGAAGGACAGAGAGCTCTTCTGGAATTCCTGTCGACCGGCGTCTGGGCCCTCCCCCTGTCCCACCCTTGCCCAATTACCCAGTTATTCGCAGGCGCTGAGGTGGGAGAAGGTGTGTTGGGGCCTTCGGGGACCATGGAGACTTCCTCGGAGGGCGAGGTCATGGGTCTTTGGACAGAAGGCGTGGCCACACTTCCCGGCCCAGAGCTTGGGGGCTGTGTGGCCTCAGAGGGGGTGGTGGCGGCAGTGGCGGGGCTGGCCGGCATCTGGCTGGGGGTCTGCGGGGTTCCTTGTGAGGGATCCTGTGGGGCTGTCATGGGGGAAATGTAGGGGATGAGGACCCTTGGGAGGACTGCTCCATCAGCCCTCTCGGGTCTCGGGTCTCGTCCTCCACTGGATTCCGTAAGACTTGAGGACGAGTCAGACAGATGAGCCGGGTGAGACAGACATCCACGGAGACAACTGGTGTCACTAAGCACTTAGTGCGAGGGACTGAGTGCTTAAGCTTAGTGCTTTCCTATTCAATCTCCACCACAACGCCACGAGGAAGAAGCCATCACCACCCCGTACTTCATCAACACCGAGGGGCTCCAAGATTTGCCCAAGGTATTTGGGGTTTGAGTCGAGGTCTCACTGTTACCCAGGCTGGAGTGCAGTGGCACAATTGTGGCTCACCATAGCTCTGACCTCCTGCGCTCAGGTAATCCTTCTGCTTCAGCCTCACAGGTAGCTGGGACAATAGGCGTGCACCACCACGCCCGGCTAATTTTTTAATTTTTTTGATAGAGACCAGGTGTCACTATGTTGCCCAGGCTGGTCTCCAACTCCTGGACTTAAGCAATCCTCCCACCTCAGCCTCCTCGCATGCTGGGATTATAGGCATGCACCACCATGTCCAGCTAATTTTTTAATTTTTTTTAGCAGAGACTGGTCTCGTCATGTAGCCCAGGCTGGTCTTGAACCCCTGGGCTTAAGCAATCCTCCCACCTCAGCCTCCCAACGTGCTGAGATTACAGGCATGAGCCGCAGTGCCTGGCTCCGGGGCCCACCGTCTCCCTGCCATGCGTGGCACCCTCTTCTAGGGTGGCAGGCTGCTCCCTTCAGGGTACAGCCAGATCACCAGGGATCACCTGCGAAGTCTGGACCAGAAGCTCTGAGGTAAGCCATGACCCATCAAGTAGATTCTGCACTAGGTTAAGACCAGCACTTAGAAAGAAAGAAAGAAAGAAACTAAAGGATATGGCAGGGAAGAGAAAAGGCCGGGATGCAGCTTGCGGGACAAGGCCTGTTCTGAAGCTTGTTTCGGTAAAGCACACATTGCAGGTGCGTGTTTTGGACGTCATGTGAGAGCACACTGTGTTCTGTCCTGTGAGCTGCCATCAGGCAGGTGAGAGGAGCCCTGTTCCAGAGCACCCCTGAGACGCCTGACACCCCACCACAGCCGCACAGAGCCTATGCATGAGCAGACGGGTGGCTTGCTTACGTGCTGAGCTGGGCAGGCCACACAACGAGCTCTCATCAGAACACACAGCCCTGCCGGGCTCTCCTCATCCCTGGCATGGTCAACTGGCTCTGAACGCGCATAGAGAGTGTTCACCGTATGTGGCCCACAGGATGCGTCGCCATCTTCCTGCTGAGCAACCAGATATAAACCAGGCCGGGCACAGTGGCTCACGCCTGTAATCCTAGCATGTTGGGCAGGAGGATTGCTTGAGCCTAAGGGTCCGAGACCAGCCTAGGCAACACAGCAAGACCTTGTCTCTACAAAAATAAAAAAATAAGCTGGGCGTAGGGGTGTGTGCCCATAGTCCCTGCTACGGCTGGGGTGGGATGACTGGGTAAGCCCAGGATGTTGAGGCTGTGGTGAACTGTGATCGTGCCACTGCACTCCAGCCTGGATGACAAATGAGACCTCGACCGAAAAAAGAGAGAAAGAGAGGAAGGGAGGAAGGAAGATTCTAGACAAGTGTTTACTGAGCATCTATACATGCACGGAAAGTTTTCTCTTGCTTAGAAGAAAGTCAAGGCATGACTTACGTGGTGTGCTGGGCAAAGCCGGGCTTGGGACGGTGTGGCCAGGGCCAGCTGTGGTGCCTGGGCCACTTGAAACCGTAGTGAGAGGGTCGGGTCTTTTGGAAGAGCTCCCCAGAGGTTCCAAAGTATCCGTGGCTGGGGCTGAGGGGCTGGTCACAGAGGCGGGCTGGGAGGGGCTTGCGGCATCTACAGGGCGTGGAATCATCTGTGGAGAACTGGCAGCCGGCATCATGGTAGTGAGACCTGGGGTGGTGCTGGGGCTGCTCCCGTCTGGTGTGGCAGCTGGGCTCTGCACCCCACCTGGGCTGCTGCTGGCTCTGGGCTCAGCAGTGGTCACGGGTGGCCCGTGTGAAGAGCTGCCCATGTCCTGCACGACCCCCGTGGCCCCAGGGCCTGTGATGGAGTCTGAGTCCTGCTCTCCGGCTGAGCCTGGGGGCCCCGTGGAGGGGCCTTGACCAGGCGCGGCCGAGGTCCCCGTGGTGTGGCTGGCAGCTGTGGTGACGTCCCCCTTGTCCTGGTCCGGGGCTGTCCTCGTGTCGCTGGAAGTGAGAGGTGTACTCTTCTGGGTTGTGCCTTCGGGGGCCACGGGGGGGTCCTGCTTGGGGGAGGTGGTGGTGATGGTTGTTACAGATAAGTTGCTACCATGGTGGCCACTGAGCGGGTCACTGGGCTGGTCTGCACCAAGACAAGAGTCAGGTTAGGTCCTGGCTGGGAGTCCTTCTTGCCACACATCCCCACGGCCTCCCCAGGACTCAGGGGCCCTGCCAACTGCCTCGGTCCTGGATGCGGCCGGGTGTTTCTGGGGCCCGGGAAACCTCTAGGAAGGCAGCAGTGGAGGAAAAGGGAAACGCAGCCCCAGGGGTGGCCCCAGCCGCAAGGCCCACCCCAAGTGGAGGCTGCTGGGTCCTCCTTGTTTTCCCATCCATCCAGCAAGTCCCACCACACACGGAGGCTGCGGGTTCCTCCCATCTTCCCATTCGGCCCCACGCACGCCCCCTCAAGGGTCTCCATCGGCCACCGCAGAGCCACAGACCTGCCCGCTCCTCCCCAGCTCCCAGGCCCCACGGAGGATCCCACAGGCTGTTCCGAGCACCCTCCAGGAGAGCCCGACTGTGACTGGAGCTCACACCCGGGCACTCCAGCGCCCCGCGAGCCGCAACACAGAGGAAACTCGGTATGTGCTGTGCCCGGCGTGGCGGCCCAGCCCTGCTGGGCAAGGCCAGGGCTGGACTCGTGGCGAGCCCCGTGTTTATGGCGGTCCCACAATACGTTCTCTGTGGGGCCTGGAAACACGCGATCGGCAAGACACAATGGCAGACCCACAGGCGCTCCCACGCTGGTGGGGACAGAGCCTGAGCCCGACGGAACAAACGTCCCTCTGGTCTTCAGGTTCTGGGAGTGAGCGAGGGGGTGACGCAGAGATGGACAGAAAGAGGGCAGGGAAAAGCCGGGCTCGGTGGCTCAGCCTGTCATCCCACGCGTTGGGAGGCTGAGGTGAGTGGATGGCCTGAGCCCGCGGGGTCGAGACCTGCCTGGGCAGCGAGACCTCATCTCTACAATAAATCAAAAATCAGCCAGGCCTGGTAGCGCGCGCCTGCAGTTCCGGCTACTCGGAAGGCTGAGGCGGGAGGATCGCCGGAGCCCAGCGGGTCGAGGCTGCAGGGGTCGGGAGCGGCCACTGCACTCCAGTGTGGGCGAAGGACTGAGACTCCAACCCCCCCCCCAGAAAAAGAAGGCAGGGAAAGCATCTCTGAGAGGACTTGCGTGAGGCCTGAGTATAATGAGGATACCGAGTGGAGAGAAGTGTGTGCCTGGCACCGGAACTGACCTCACAACACCTCCCGTAGGGAGCCGCACCAGGGGAAGACAAGGGTGAGTGTTCAGTGATGGGGACTGGGGACAGTGGTGAGAACATGCAGGGCCTTATGGGCAGTGACAGCAACCTGTGTCTGCCCAGATCCTGAGTAAACAAAGGCTCTCTTAAAAATCATACCTAAGGGTACCTGCATGATCACTGTTTATATACCTAACCCTGAATTGTATCCCACATCTTTATAATAAATAAATTATAAAATTTTAAAAATCATACCTTAGGCCAGGGGTGGTAAGCTCACACTGTAATCCCAGCAATCTGGGAGGCCAAGGTGAGTAGATTGATTGAGGCCGAGTTCAAGAGCAGCCTGGGCAACATAGCAAGACCTTGTCTCAATAACAAAAAAACAAATTAGCTGGGCATGATGGCACACAGCCTTAGTTCCAGGTACTTGGGAGACTGAGGCAGGAGGACCGCCTGAGCCCAGGAGTGGTGAGCCATGATCATGCCGCTGCAGTTCAGCCTGGGCAAGAGTGAGACTCCCTTTCAAAATAATTAATAATAGTATCTTAGGTTAAAACAGAGATATAAGACTCTCCTCCTCGGAGGCTAAAATAAGGATTTGGATTTTATTTTAGGTGCAAAGAGAAAGCACTGAAGGCATTAAAGCAAGGATGTTTTATAGGGTGACAAAGAAACACACCCTTGCTACTGTGGGGAACAGGCCAGACAGGAGTGTGCGGAGGCGGCAGACAAGCAAGAAGCTGTTCCGAGCAACCGTGATGAAGAGGCGACGCAGCCGCAGGCGGCTCCCAACACTGGAGAGAGGACGGAGTCAAGGATGCTTACCATGAGGGAGGAGGAGGGGTGGGTGATTCCTGATCTTCCGCTGTGAGCTGAAGGCAGGGGGGCAGAGGGGCTGGTGGACCCTGCGGTTGGCGTGGCCAGCCGGTACCCATGCCATTGCTCTGTGCTTGGGGAACCTCCACCCCCCAAGTCCTGACACCAGCAGAATTTGCTTCCTATTATAGTTGCTGAAAACGTCAGGCATTTGCTTTCCCAGCCTCTCATGGTGGCCACGTGACAACATTGCCACAACTGAGCACTCTTACCGCACATGACTCCAAGGAGCTCCCTGGCAGGAGTGGTATACACTGCGCCCCCGCGCCAGCAGCCGTGAAGGCGACACCAAGTGTGACCCAGGCCACAGCAGTTCCTCGTGTGTGGCCTGGGCAGGCAGTGTTGTCCTCCATGGACCTTCTACAGCCTGACCTGGATGATGTTTACCAGCCCCAAATGCGGCCTCCAGTGAGCCCAGCTAGTCCATACTCACAAGACCCAATGTCCTTGACATGCAAACTTTGCTACCAAGGCAGAAATCTGTATCAGGAGTGGTGGCCGGGATTCATGGCCAGGCCTTTCTAGGGCCAAAGAGCAGTCAGAATCCTGCAAGGATCAAGGGACAGGACTCCAATACATCTCATGACATCTTGTGGAGAAGCACCACGTCATCACCTCGGTGGGGCTGAGGCTGGAGGTAAGCAAGTCTCTAAGAGCACACACCCCAGGACATACGCTGAACATTGATGGAATGTCACAGCGGACAGGGCTTTCCTTCTTAGGAGTTCCCAAAGTCATGGTGCTTCTTACAGTGGGGGTGCCCCGGCATCTTTTAGCAAAAGAGACTAGATTGCCGAGGGGTGTGTATCAGCATATTTGAGGAATTAAGAAGTTTAGGGATGCAGAGTGGTATGATTACTTCTTACTGTGGTGAGTGTTTCGGGACAAGGCTGCTCAGTTCGGTACTGACGTTTCAGGCTGGATGCTTCTTTGTTATGGGGAGCTGTGTAGCTACATTCCTGCCCTACCCATTAGACACGAGTAGTGCGCGCGCGCGCACAACCTCTTTCCCACCATGACAACCAAAACTGTCTCCAGGTATTGCCAGACATCCCCTGGGGGAGACAAAATCACTGCTGGTTTAAAGGAAAAAAGTAACAAACTCAGATCCCTAAATCCTCCTACCAGAGCACAGACTGAAACCAGAGATTTTCCAAGAACTCATGAAAGAAACCACTCTGTGTTTGCAACTGAAGAGTAGGGATGGCTTTTAAGTTAAAAGTGTGATCTGGGCCGGACTCAGTGGCTCAGCCTGTAATCCCAGCACTTTTGGAGGCTGAAGCGAGTGAACTGCCTGAGCCCGTGGGTTTGAGACCTACCAGGGCAACTTGGCGAGACCTCATCTCTACAATAAATCAAAAATTAGCCAGGCGTGGTAGCACGCACCTGTAGTTCTGGCTACTTGGAAGGCTGAGACGGAAGGATCGCCGGAGCCCAGTAGGGCGAGGCTGTGGTGGCTGGGAGTGTGCCACTGCACTCCAGTCTGGGTGAAAGAGTGAGACTCCAACTCAAAAAATAAAATAAAATGAATAAAAGTGTGATCTGTGAGTTGCCAAATTACAGCGTTAACTTAATTCACAACCTCACCATGTAAAAATGGGAGCTTAAGAATGGGATGGTGAGGCCAGGTGTGGTGGCTCACACCTGTCATCTCAGCATTTTAAGAGACCAAGGAGAAAGGATTGCCTGAGTTCAAGATCAGCCTGGGCAACACAGCGAGACCTCAACTCTACAAAAAATTTAAGTTAGCCAGACATGGTGGCTACTCGGAAGGCTGAGGTGGAAGATCACCTGAGCTCAGGAGTTTGAGGCTGTGGTGAGCCATGATCACGCCACTGCACCCTAGCCTGGGCAACAGAGGGAGACCCTGACTCAAAAAAGAAAGGAAGGAAGGAAGGAAAAAAGAAAAGAGAATAGGATGGTGGTATATGGGAGGGTGCAGATGAATCGGACTCCCCATAAATCTCACTCTTCAACAACAGATGCTGCCGAAGATGTGGAGAAAAAGGAGTACTTCCACACTGCTGGTGGGAATGCAAACTAGTACAACCTCTTTGGAAGACAGTGTGGCGATTTATGAAAGAAGTAGAAATTGACCTTCCATATGACCCAGCAATTCCCCTCTTGGGAATATACCCGGAGGAACTTAAATCATTCTACAAAAAAGATACCTGCACACATATGTTTGTTGCAGCTCTATTTACAATAGCAAAAGCATGGAACCAACCATGTTGCCCATCAAAGCTGGACTGGATTTAAAAAATGTGGTACATATACACAATGGAATACTATGCAGCCATGAAGAAGGACAAATATGTGGACTTTGCAGCAACTTGGATGGATTTGGAGTCGATCATACTCAGTGATCTATCACAGAAACAAAGAAGAGTACCATATGTTCTCACTCGTAAGCTGACCTTGAACAAGTATAATGCTATAATAAAGTGATTGGCAGTAGTGGGAAAGTATCAGGGGAAGGGGTGTGGGATTGGCAGTTGAGAGAAACTGCTGGGGAAGGGAGGGGCAAACCTCATCAACAAGGGGTCCCTGCGTGACCAATGTTTATATACCTAACCCTGAATTCTACCCCACATCTTTAAAATAAAAATGAAAAAAACAACAGCAACTCACTCTTCAACAATGTTCACCTCCCAGAGGTTCAACCACTGTTCTCTTGTCCAAGGAGATGCTCCTACCTTGAACATTCTTACTTAAAATGCTCAATCATCTTGCTTGAGCTCTTTGGCGCAGAAAGCCAAATCTCATTATCCCCATTCTCTTCAAACCTTTAGCAGCAGTCAGATTCCATTAGGTCCCGGGAGAACAGAGTCTGACCCAAGAGAAGGCGTACACACCACAACCACCTGCAAAGGCCTAGCACGTAATATGGGTTACATAACACGAAGGTGTGCTGTCAAGGGGGAATCTCATAATTTGGGATTCACAATGCTAACTCAGGCAGCAAGAGTCATCCTAATTCTATTCTTAGTTGGTGGACTGACACCTGGACTCACCGGTAGCCCACATGAAATAAGCTGAGTTGTCAAAAAAAATCCCTGGAACAACGGAAGACATCCAGCATCTCAGAGAGACGGAGTGTTGATCATCGGGGACCAACTCGCACTCTGTGTTCCCTGACAAAGCTCAGTGGACACCCCTTTCATGAGGCTTTTGAGAAATACTGCTATTTCATGAGTTCTAAGATGCACATCTTTCCATGTCTCCAAAATGAGGATGTATTATTATAGGTCACTGTGGGTCCCACTCTGGCAATGGCTTGGTTTTTCCCCATTCTAAGTGGTTTATTACATAATGGAGATGATCTCATCACTGACGGTGGCTTGGATGTGACGAAGTCTGGGACCCTGTTGAGATGGCTACGGCATATTCCAGAGCGTGGCTGCAGTATTCTTCACTGGCCGGGAACATTTGTAGGAAAAGCTGCTGATTTTAGTGGGGATGGACACCGCATTCTCTAGGTAGCTGGGCTAAAAAGGGAATTTCACCGCCAGGAAAAAGGGTCTGTGTGACTCTGTAATGTGAAGCCACGTGTCTCTAGGGCCAGGATGAGCGGCTCACAGACCTGGCTATAGGTAGGTCCGGCATTCACACAGCGAATAAGGCCATGCGCCCAGCTCCCAGAACTCTGGGTTTTTTCACAGACTCAGGGGACTCTGCCTGAAGTGTGCGCTTTTGTCCTATGGCTGCAACATTCAGTGGCTTAGGACAACATTCAGTCCCACAGTTTCTAGAGGCTGGAGGCCAAGTGGCAGGCTATGGTCCCCGGGCACCAGGGAGGAGCCTTCCCCTGTCCTTCCCAGCCATCCTCGGCACTCCCTGGCTCGTGGCTCCATCAGCACACGGCCCCCTCTCCATGTGTCTCTGTCTCTCCTCTTACAAGGACACTGGTCACTGGATCTGGAGCCCACCCTGACCTAGCATGATGTCATCTTAACTTGATGACATCTGCAAAGACCCTATTTCTAAACAGGTTCACAGTCAGGCACCAGGTAGCAGGGCTTCACCACACCTTTTCGGGGACACCACTCAGTCCCCAAGCCTTCTCTTCCACATCCCACCATGAAAGCCAGGACTCTTAGTTGCAAACATCAGAAATTAATCAGAACTTATTAGAAAGACTGGCCAGCTGATAAAACGCCTGAGTGGTCCAGGCGCCAGTGGCTCAAGCCCGTAATCGCAGGACTTTGGGAGGCTGAGGTGAGGGGACTGCCTGAGCCCACAGGTTGGAGACCAGCCTGGGCAACTTGGTGAGACCTCATCTCTACAATATATCAAAAAGTTAGCCGGGCCCAGGCGATCTACGCTGGAGTGGCTGTGAGCGTGCCACTGCACTCCAGCTTGGGCGATGGAGTGAGACTCCAACCCAGAAGAAAACAAAACAAACAAAAAAGCCCATCTGAGATGGCTGAAGAATCAAGCATTAAGTCAGAACCAGCATCCAGATCCTTCTCTGGCACCAGATGGCGAGATCACCCCTCCGCCGCCACCCGGCCCAGTGACTTCCGTCTGTACCACTGATGCCATTAGCACTGGGTCCTGGATTTCATTCTGAGAGACGTTAGCCTTTGGGAGCTGTCAGAAGAGCCTTTCCCTTACATTTACGAGTGCACTCCCCGAGGGTCCACTGGGGCCTATCCTTACTCCTTCCTGCTTCATTTTTTAGCCCCAGGTAGGGTTTATGCTAAGATGACTAAATTGTATAAGTTTAATGCTTCGCTTATGCTGCCTTACAGTGAGTTCCTCGGTGAGGTGCAATGCTCTGTGGAATATCATTGATAGTGAATAAGGCATCCTGCAGCCCATGAAGGGTACCGCACGGCAGCTGGGGTCAGGTGCAGTGGCTCACACTTTGGGAGGCCGATCACTTGAGGCCAGGAGTTCAAGACCAGCCTGGGCAACCTAGTGAGACCTCATCTCTACAAAAATAAAGCTATCCAGGAATGGTATTTGTGCACCCCTGTAGTCCCAGCTACTAGAGAGGCTGAGGGAGAAAGATCACTTGAGCATGCAGTGAGCCATGACCACACCACAGCACTCCAGCCCAGGCGACAGTGAGACCCTGTCTTTAAACAACAGCATCACACCCATGCAACGACTACTCTACCATAAACAGGAATGAGCTCTGATTCACATAAGAGAAAACAGGAATCCTAAACACCTTCTGCTAAGCAGAGAAGCCAAAGGCTACGAGGGCCTGATTCCATTTACATATGAGATTATGGAAAAGCAAAATCCCAGGGCCAGAAGACAGATGGGGTGCCAGAGCAAGGGATGGAGGAGGAGAGGACCCCTGCACGCCAGGCAAGGAGGTTGAGGGCAGTGGAACTGTCAT